TCAAAACTTCTTATTTTCTGCACAGAGCCTTCTTAACCCTTATACTGCTGGGTGCCTTAGCTATTGTCTATTATTCAGCTTTTCATCCAAAGATCCAGGTTTCCTCCATTTGGGAACCAACCTAATGTTCATCTTGATTTTGAATAGTGCATCCTTTCTGCTCCTTCTCTTTCTTTTTTTTTTTTAAAGATTGTCAGAGAGCACAAGCAGAGGGAGTGGCAGGCAGAGAAGCAGGCTCCCCACCGAGCAAGGAGCCTGATGTGGAACTCGATCCCAGGACCCTGGGATCATGACCTGAGCTGAAGGCAGACACTTAATTGACTGAGCCACCCAGGGGTCCCTGCTCCTTTTTTTTCTTTCTCCTTTTTCCTAAAAATTCTGATTTTGATTTCCTTTAGCTTATGTGTCTTTATCTCATAGAGACACAGGAAATTGTTCTCTTTCCATTAACAGCCCAAAGATTATGATTGGATCAAAGCATTATATGCCTACTGCATGGTTACCTCAATTATCAGGACTCTACAAACTTAACAATGTCCAGGTCAGGAGACCAAATTGCCTCAAAGTTTGAGAGCCCAGGAATTGTGACCTGAGCTTGTGTGCTTTCCAAGAGTGATTCTTCATCTCAGTTTCTGTTAAGATAAATGAAATGAGGTGTGCCTGGGTGTCGCAGTCAGTTAAGCATCTGACTCTTGGTTTTGGCTCAGGTCATGATCTCAGAGATTGAGCCCCAAGTTGGGCTCTGTGCTCAGCGTGGAATCTGCTTGAGATTCTCTCTCCATCTGCCTCTGCCTCCCTGCCCTGCTCATGCTCGCTCTCTCAAATATTTAAAAAAAAAAAAAAAAGATAAGTGAAATGATACCAGCATGCCAATCCATGACATCAAAGAACAGATTCCTCCAGGCAAGAAAAGAGCCAGGAACACCTTATGTGCCAATGATATTCATGTTGCTTTTGGTAACAGATTGCACTAGTGGCAGATTGGAATCCAGAGAAGATGTAATTAAAGCCTCCCTTCATTAACTAAAACTCTTAGAGGCAGTCTCTATGGTCAAAAAGGTGGGAAGAATATTTAGGAAGAGTTTTGTAGACTGAAATGGTTCTCTATATGAAAGATATAATTATTTCCATTGTTAGAGAAACAACTCAAACTGTATGCATTCCCTGTGCCCCATCACTAGTGTTATTTCTATTTATAGAAAGATGTAAATAAAAATGTCATTGACCTGAAATCAAAGGACCTGCTTCTGTCCATTATTCACAGTATAGTAAACCATTTCCTGCTCCCTAAACTGAGAATGATAATGGAATAATAATCTTGGCTCTGCCTAATTAGTAGGACAATTGTGATAACTGAATGAGATAAATATATAATGAAGCCCAAAAGTAAAACTTCAAAAAGGAATTCATAAAGGAAATGCTGTAAACACACATGCAAATGAACAAACAAAAAACCACACAAACGAACACATCCTGGAAGCAGGATAATACAGATTATTTTTAGGAAAGAACAGAAGGAAGAAAGTTCAAAGGCATTGTGAAGAGTTTGTAACCTGGCAGAAGATACTAGTATATAATGCATATGTCTAAAGAGATGATCATTATTGATCACTGTGGAGAGCTAAATATACACTCAGAAGAAAGTGTTTAAGTGCCATAGAGGTGAAACGTGATGATTGCTTTTCTGAGGCAGAGTGTGAATCAATGGATGTTGACCAGCATCTGGAATTGACCAAATGGAGTGATCAGCAATTCCTACAGTGATCAAGAGAAAATAAGAATAAGATAGAATTGAAGTACACTGCATCCCCTCCATAGACACTTAAGCATGGCAGAAAAAGATGACAGCAAGGTGCAGTGTAAGCATGTGTTCCCAGTAAAGTTTAGGGAGCGACTTCTTGCAAGACAGTAACTTTGGCAGATGGTGTAGGAAATATATATCTGTTGAGTGATGGGTCTATAGCAAGTTAATCAGCAGCAGGAAGGCTGACAGCAGCTGGACATGCAGCAAGGACAGCAGCAGGTGGTTCTACGGCAGGTGGTGTGGCAGGAGGTTGGGCAGCAGCAAGGCTAGCACCAGATGGACCCACAGCCCTGGGCTAGGCATCCAGGCAAGCAGCAACAGGTGGGGTGGTAGCAGGTCCTCCTGCAGAACTCGGGGGTACAATAGGCTGGCTGACAGCGGCTGGACCCACAGCAGGTTTGTCCACAGCCACTAGAACGACAGGAGCTGGGCCAGCAGCAGGTGGTCCTGCAGCAGGTGGTCTGACAGCAAGTTGGGCGGAAGCAGCAAGGCTGGCAGCAGTGGGACCCACAGCAGCTGGACCCACTGCAGCCTTCTCCACAGCTGCCGCATTACCCGCAGCAGATGGGCCAGCACCGGGTGGTCCTACAGCACGTAGGCTGGCAGGAAGGGGAGCAGCAGCACGAGTTGGTCATAGTGTCACAGGTGGAGAGGGGGCTTCTGTTCAGAGGTGAGGTTTTCAGTTTCTGACTGGGGCCTCCTTACATTCTGGAGATTTCATACACTGAACACCCTGAAGTGTGGACCAAGAGCAGGACTTTCCTTGTTGTTGTTTACATCCTTTTCCATAGTCACTGGGAGCTGATAGAAGAGAAAGTCCACTTTTTGTTATGAATTTTAAGAGAATAAGTGCTTAATGTGTTTACTAATCTACATTAACTCACAGAAACGTTTTCAGATGAAGACAAGGTGGTCCCATCAGCATCATTCTTATTTCAATAATTTCATCATGTGACATAACTCCCCCTGGCCTGGGAAGTGGTTGGCGAGTCAGTTTAGTGGTCCTTCCCCAGCGTTGGTCCTTAGGTTGCATGTAGATTAGGACTATCCCTGAGATGAGGGGCATGATTGTTGTTGATGTGTTCATAGAGATGAACTGGGATCATGCCTGAGCCCAAGTCGGTTTCCCCACAAAGCCTGATTCCAGACTCCCACAGCATCTGTCTCTTGTGGCACCCTACCCCACCTCAGTGTCCCAGTTCAATCAAAGACACCTGGGTGGAAGACATGGGGCTTCACCTCTTCCATATGTCAAGGCAGAATCGAGCAGGTGGATAGAAACAGCAGCGGTACACCAAGACCAGGCAAGCATCCGTCACCGAACTTCCTGAGTGACCAGCAGTCCTGATTCACCCAGAAACGAGGGCTTTTAGAGGATGTGGGACGTTCAGTGATATACCTGGGGCAGTTTGGGAAAACCAGGATGAGTTGGTGACTCTAGTCCTCAACAAGCAGAGTGAGCTGCTTAATGCACCGACTACACACGTACTGTTGTCTCTTCCTCCCACCTTCCCTCCCTCCGTCTACCTTCCTCTCTCCCTGCCTCCCGTCTCCTCCTCTCTTCCCTCTTCTTCCTCCTCTGCCTCCCTCTTGTACCAATTGTGCCTGGCCACCATCATTAAGAAGAAAAGATTGGGTCTGAGTGGAGAAGACCGTAGACCGTAGACCGTAGATAATGCCTTCAATAGGCCAGCCATTTATCTCAGATCTTCCTGTGTTCGGGACAGTTTCTACCCACCGCATCGGCATCTCTGTGCCTAATGGCTGTTTTCATGCCACAGCGGAATGTCACGCTGCCTGGTGTGTGACACGCCGACAGAAACGCTCAACCGATGCTTCTGGAGAGTTGGTTTATAAAGACTCCAGATCCGTTGTTGCTGAATTAGGAGAAGCCCGATGAGAGTGCTACATCATTTCTGATATATCTCTCAGGTTTAAGCTGCACTTGCAAGCTGGCACGCTGGACTCGTAGTGCCTCTTCCCTGTGTCACTGTCCCACACTCCAACCAGTGGGATCGGCCCTCGCCAAAGAAACAACATGCCTGGATGCTGTTCTTCAGAGTAGCTTCTGGGAGATACCAAACTCCGGCATGACTTTACCCACCTCGGCCTTGATTTCCCCATCCCTGCAATGGGAACCCTGATGCCTGTGTTGAAAATTACTTCAAGAATTAAAGAATGTACATGAAGCATTTGGCCAATACTTAGCAAGTAGGAAGCAACCCAGGTCGTGTCTGTTCCTCACATCATCAGGGCAAACGCCCAGGTCCTAAGGACCAGCAGGAGGCGTGTTTGGTCTTGGCAGTCTGTCCAGAGCCTCGCGCGTAGCTGGTCTTCAGCGTTGGCGTGGGTCCCGGACAGGAGCCTTCCTAGCTCATCAGAGGTCCCTCCACAGCTCCCGGGAGGTGACTCAGGGCCTATGTGTGCTCTTCCTCTCAGAGCCGGAATCCAGCCTCACATCCCTGAGCGCCGAGGCAGCATCATGCATTAGTTCGGGACCGGAAGCACCGGCCTCTGGCTATCGTGAGTCCTGTGAATGCCCATGCTCTTTTCTCTTTCTTCTTCCTCACTTGGCCTCCGCCTGCCCTCCGCCCATTCCCGCCTAAGCTCCGCTCCCAGAGCGGCACATTGACTTCCCTGGAACCCTTCGCAGTTCCTTCCCCCAACCCTGGAGGTTGTTTGGTTCCCGTAGATGGTTCAGAGGCCATGGATTACTCCGAGTCATCCTCCACGCCCAGTGCACGGGCTGTTGGCCCTAATGTCGTCCTTCCTTACTTTTCTTGGTAACATGTTGGTCATGACGCCACATCGCCTTGCGGGTGGGGAGCTTGATGTGTTTGGCAGAAAATTGCTTGACACCTCTGTACCCTGCCAGTGGGTCCTGAGGACCACGAGGCCCAACCAGAAGGGGACTTCCATGACCCAACGGGCCATGCGTGAGCAGCTGCGGCCCTCAGTCATGAGGCCACTGCACGCTCACCTATCTGTGAAGCAGAGGAGTGCCTGAGGGGCTGGACGGCGCCTGAGGAAACGAAAAGGTCCCTGTGTTCCTAAGAGCTCTAAAGGGCAGGGCCCGCTGCCCTCCCATGGGCCTGGCGGTCCCTGAGTGGTAGGACCCGGACATCTACCCCTTGGTCCCAGATATCGCCTGCACCTCCTACAGGAGAACAGGACCACCGTGGTCCCACAAAGACACTCATACGAACTTCTTGCTGGTGCTCAGGCCCAGGGCGCTGCCTACTCGCCTGCAGATGGGAATGGGAGCGCCCTTCAGCAAGGGCAGGAGTTGCAGCCTGGCATCCAAGTGTGTCCCTGTCAGCTCTGTGACAACAAGTCCCAAGATTTCCTCATCTGCAAATGGAGATATGAATTTGTGGGGAGTCTATGAGGCCCCAAAAGGATAGTGTATGTGGTATGGGACCTGTACATAAATCGTTGCATCGCGAATGCCGTACAAGGACACAAACACCAAATGGGATGCAGGTCAGTGCGGGGTTTATCAAGAAATTCACGTGAGATTCCCTGTGTCTAGGGAGACATTCAAAAGGATCATGACCGGAAGAAATCAGCATTTCTCTGAGTGCACTGAGAAAGAAAACATAGTTGTGCAGACATTGATAGGTGCCAAAACGTGAATCAAGCAAGAGGATTTATTTCTCAAAGGCAGTTAGACAGGATGAAGACCCTGACTACGGAGTCAAAGCAGAGATCTTGACTCCTCTTGACTCCGTATCTGGAGGCCTGAAGCTGGCAGGGTCTCACAAGACCTGAGGAAGAAGAGAATCAGGAGAAGTGGTCCCCTCTTCATCAAGCTGATTCAGAGGCTTTGGAACAGGCAGATGAGTAACAGAAATGTTGGCGATTGCATGCTGGCTTTCAGTAACATTTGGCAGTGTCTTTGTTTCCCAAATGGCAAATCAGTGCTGTGTGCAGATGGTGGTTCTTGGTGAGGCGGTCAGCAGTAGGAAGGCTGGCAGCGTCTGGACATGGAGCAGGGGTGGCAGCAGGTGGTCCTCCGGCAGGTGGTGCGGCAGCAGTTTGGCTGGCAACCAGGCTAGCAGCAGCTGGGTCCACAGCCCTGGGCTAGGCATCCAGGCAGGCAGCAGCAGGTGGGGAGGTAGCAGGTTCTCCTGCAGTACACGCGGGTAGAGCAGGCTGGCTGACAGCAGCTGGACCCACAGCAAGGTTGTCCACAGCCACTGGACCCACAGCAGCTGGGTTGACAGCAGCTGGAGACACAACAGCTGGGCCGGCAGCAGGTGGTCCGACAGCAAGTTGGGCGGCAGCAGCAAGGCTGGCAGCAGCTGGACCCGCAGCAGCTGGACCCGCTGCCGCCTTGTCCACAGCCGCTGCTGCCGCACCCGCAGCAGCTGGGCTGGCAGCAGGTGGTCCTGCAGCAGGTGGTCCTGCAGCACGTAGGCTGGCAGCAAGGGGAGCAGCAGCACGACTCGGTCATGGTGTCACGGGTGGAGGGGGAGCTTCTGTTTGTTCAGAGGTGAGTTTCTCAGATTCTGTTGTGTCCTCTTGTTGTGGGGCTTTTATGCACTGGATCCCCAAATTTGGACCAATGGGCCTGACTGTCTTGTTGTTGTTTACGTTGCTTGCCTAATAGTTTGGGAATTGAAGAAGAGGAAGTTTTTTTTCCCGAATGTTATGAATCTTTCGAAAATAAGTGCTTAACGTGTTTCTTAATTGAGAATAACTCATGGAGACATTTCCTGATGACAACAAGGTGGTCCCATCAGAAGCATCATTCTTGTTTCAATAATTTCATCACGTGACATAACTCCCCCTGGCCTGGGAAGTGGTTGGCGAGTCAGTTTAGTGGTCCTTCCCCAGCGTTGGTCCTTAGGTTGCATGTAGATTAGGACTATCCCTGAGATGAGGGGCATGATTGTTGTTGGTATGTTCATAGAGATGAACTGGGATCATGCCTGAGCCCAAGTCGGTTTCCCCACAAAGCCTGATTCCAGACTCCCACAGCATCTGTCTCTTGTGGCACCCTACCCCACCTCAGTGTCCCAGTTCAATCAAAGACACCTGGGTGGAAGACATGGGGCTTCACCTCTTCCATATGTCAAGGCAGAATCGAGCAGGTGGATAGAAACAGCAGCGGTACACCAAGACCAGGCAAGCATCCGTCACCGAACTTCCTGAGTGACCAGCAGTCCTGATTCACCCAGAAACGAGGGCTTTTAGAGGATGTGGGACGTTCAGTGATATACCTGGGGCAGTTTGGGAAAACCAGGAAGAGTTGGTGACTCTAGTCCTCAACAAGCAGAGTGAGCTGCTTAATGCACTGACTACACACTTACTGTTGTCTCTTCCTCCCATCTTCCCTCCCTCCGTCTACCTTCCTCTCTCCCTGCCTCCCGTCTCCTCCTCTCTTCCCTCTTCTTCCTCCTCTGCCTCCCTCTTGTACCAATTGTGCCTGGCCACCATCATTAAGAAGAAAAAATTGGGTCTGAGTGGGGAAGACCATAGACCATAGATGATGCCTTAAATATGCCAGCCATATATCTCAGATCTTACTGTGTTTGGGACAATTTCTACCTGTCAGATCCGCATCTTTATGCCTAATGGTTGTTTTCATGCTACAGCAGAATGTCACACTGCCTGGTGCGTGACACGCTGATGGAAATGCTCAACTGATGCTTCTGGAGAGTTGGTTTATAAAGACTCCAGATCCCTTGTTGCTGAATTAGGAGAAGCCCAATGAGTGTGTTACATCATTTCTGATATATCTCTCAGGTTTAAGCTTCACTTGCAAGCTGGCATGCTGGACTCATAGTGCCTCTTCCCTGTGTCACTTTCCCACATTCCAACCAGTGGGATCGGCCCTCGCCAAAGAAACAATATGCCTGGATGCTGTTCTTCAGAGAGGCTTCTGGGAGATACCAAACTCGGATATGACTTTACCCACCTCAGCCTTGATTTCCCCATCCCTGCAATGGGAACCCTGATGCCTGTGTTGAAAATTACTTCAAGAATTAAAGAAAATGTACATGAAGCATTTGGCCAATACTTAGCAAGTAGGAAGCAACCCAGGTCGTGTCTGTTCCTCACGTCATCAGGGCAAACGCCCAGGTCCTAAGGACCAGCAGGAGGCGTGTTTGGTCTTGGCAGTCTGTCCAGAGCCTCGCGCATAGCTGGTCTTCAGCGTTGGCGTGGGTCCCGGACAGGAGCCTTCCTAGCTCATCAGAGGTCCCTCCACTGCTCCCGGGAGGTGACTCAGGGCCTATGTGTGCTCTTCCTCTCAGAGCCGGAATCCAGCCTCACATCCCTGAGCGCCGAGGCAGCATCATGCATTAGTTCGGGACCGGAAGCGCCGGCCCCTGGCTATCGTGAGTCCTGTGAATGCCCATGCTCTTTTCTCTTTCTTCTTCCTCACTTGGCCTCCGCCTGCCCTCCGCCCATTCCCGCCTAAGCTCCGCTCCCAGAGCGGCACATTGACTTCCCTGGAACCCTTCGCAGTTCCTTCCCCCAACGCTAGAGGTTGTTTGGTTACCGTAGAGGGTTCAGAGGCCATGGATTACTCCGAGTCATCCTCCACACCCAGTGCACGGGCTGTTGGCCCTAATGTCGTCCTTCCTTACTTTTCTTGGTAACATGTTGGTCACGACGCCACATCGCCTTGCGGGTGGGGAGCTTGATGTGTTTGGCAGAAAATTGCTTGACACCTCTGTACCCTGCCAGTGGGTCCTGAGGACCACGAGGCCCAACCAGAAGGGGACTTCCATGACCCAACGGGCCATGCGTGAGCAGCTGCGGCCCTCAGTCAGGAGGCCACTGCAGGCTCACCTATCTGTGAAGCAGAGGAGTGCCTGAGGGGCTGGACGGCGCCTGAGGAAACGAAAAGGTCCCCGTGTTCCTAAGAGCTCTAAAGGGCAGGGCCCGCTGCCCTCCCATGGGCCTGGCGGTCCCTGAGTGGTAGGACCCGGACATCTACCCCTTGGTCCCAGATATCGCCTGCACCTCCTACAGGAGAACAGGACCACCGTGGTCCCACAAAGACACTCATACGAACTTCTTGCTGGTGCTCAGGCCCAGGGCGCTGCCTACTCGCCTGCAGATGGGAATGGGAGCGCCCTTCAGCAATGGCAGGAGTTGCAGCCTGGCATCCAAGTGTGTCCCTGTCAGCTCTGTGACAACAAGTCCCAAGATTTCCTCATCTGCAAATGGAGATATGAATTTGTGGGGAGTCTATGAGGCCCCAAAAGGATAGTGTATGTGGTATGGGACCTGTACATAAATCGTTGCATCGCGAATGCCGTACAAGGACACGAACACCAGATGGGATGCAGGTCAGTGCGGGGTTTATCAAGAAATTCACGTGAGATTCCCTGTGTCTAGGGAGACATTCAAAAGGATCATGACCGGAAGAAATCAGCATTTCTCTGAGTGCACTGAGAAAGAAAACATAGTTGTGCAGACATTGATAGGTGCCAAAACGTGAATCAAGCAAGAGGATTTATTTCTCAAAGGCAGTTAGACAGGATGAAGACCCTGACTACGGAGTCAAAGCAGAGATCTTGACTCCTCTTGACTCTGTATCTGGAGGCCTGAAGCTGGCAGGGTCTCACAAGACCTGAGGAAGAAGAGAATCAGGAGAAGTGGTCCCCACTTCATCAAGCTGATTCAGAGGCTTTGGAACAGGCAGATGAGTAACAGAAATGTTGGCGATTGCATGCTGGCTTTCAGTAACATTTGGCGGTGTCTTTGTTTCCCAAATGGCAAATCAGTGCTGCGTGCAGATGGTGGTTCTTGGTGAGGCGGTCAGCAGTAGGAAGGCTGGCAGCGTCTGGACATGGAGCAGGGGTGGCAGCAGGTGGTCCTCCGGCAGGTGGTGCGGCAGCAGTTTGGCTGGCAACCAGGCTAGCAGCAGCTGGGTCCACAGCCCTGGGCTAGGCATCCAGGCAGGCAGCAGCAGGTGGGGAGGTAGCAGGTTCTCCTGCAGTACACGCGGGTAGAGCAGGCTGGCTGACAGCAGCTGGACCCACAGCAAGGTTGTCCACAGCCACTGGACCCACAGCAGCTGGGTTGACAGCAGCTGGAGACACAGCAGCTGGGCCGGCAGCAGGTGGTCCTGCAGCAGGTGGTCCGACAGCAAGTTGGGGGGCAGCAGCAAGGCTGGCAGCAGCTGGACCCGCAGCAGCTGGACCCGCTGCCGCCTTGTCCACAGCCGCTGCCGCCGCACCCGCAGCAGCTGGGCTGGCAGCAGGTGGTCCTGCAGCAGGTGGTCCTGCAGCACGTAGGCTGGCAGCAAGGGGAGCAGCAGCACGACTCGGTCATGGTGTCACGGGTGGAGCTTCTGTTCAGTGGTGAGTCTCTCAGATTCTGTTGTGTCCTCTTGTTGTGGGGCTTTTATGCACTGGATCCCCAAATTTGGACCAATGGGCCTGACTGTCTTGTTGTTGTTTACGTTGCTTGCCTAATAGTTTGGGAATTGAAGAAGAGGAAGTTTTTTTTCCCGAATGTTATGAATCTTTCGAAAATAAGTGCTTAACGTGTTTCTTAATTGAGAATAACTCATGGAGACATTTCCTGATGACAACAAGGTGGTCCCATCAGAAGCATCATTCTTGTTTCAATAATTTCATCACGTGACATAACTCCCCCTGGCCTGGGAAGTGGTTGGCGAGTCAGTTTAGTGGTCCTTCCCCAGTGTTGGTCCTTAGGTTGCATGTAGATTAGGACTATCCCTGAGATGAGGGGCATGATTGTTGTTGGTATGTTCATAGAGATGAACTGGGATCATGCCTGAGCCCAAGTCGGTTTCCCCACAAAGCCTGATTCCAGACTCCCACAGCATCTGTCTCTTGTGGCACCCTACCCCACCTCAGTGTCCCAGTTCAATCAAAGACACCTGGGTGGAAGACATGGGGCTTCACCTCTTCCATATGTCAAGGCAGAATCAAGCAGGTGGATAGAAACAGCAGTGGTACACCAAGACCAGGCAAGCATCCGTCACCGAACTTCCTGAGTGACCAGCAGTCCTGATTCACCCAGAAACGAGGGCTTTTAGAGGATGTGGGACGTTCAGTGATATACCTGGGGCAGTTTGGGAAAACCAGGAAGAGTTGGTGACTCTAGTCCTCAACAAGCAGAGTGAGCTGCTTAATGCACCGACTACACACGTACTGTTGTCTCTTCCTCCCACCTTCCCTCCCTCCGTCTACCTTCCTCTCTCCCTGCCTCCCGTCTCCTCCTCTCTTCCCTCTTCTTCCTCCTCTGCCTCCCTCTTGTACCAATTGTGCCTGGCCACCATCATTAAGAAGAAAAGATTGGGTCTGAGTGGAGAAGACCGTAGACTGTAGACCGTAGATAATGCCTTCAATAGGCCAGCCATTTATCTCAGATCTTCCTGTGTTCGGGACAGTTTCTACCCACCGCATCGGCATCTCTGTGCCTAATGGCTGTTTTCATGCCACAGCGGAATGTCACGCTGCCTGGTGCGTGACACGCCGACAGAAACGCTCAACCGATGCTTCTGGAGAGTTGGTTTATAAAGACTCCAGATCCGTTGTTGCTGAATTAGGAGAAGCCCGATGAGAGTGCTACATCATTTCTGATATATCTCTCAGGTTTAAGCTGCACTTGCAAGCTGGCACGCTGGACTCGTAGTGCCTCTTCCCTGTGTCACTGTCCCACGCTCCAACCAGTGGGATCGGCCCTCGCCAAAGAAACAACATGCCTGGATGCTGTTCTTCAGAGTAGCTTCTGGGAGATACCAAACTCCGGCATGACTTTACCCACCTCAGCCTTGATTTCCCCATCCCTGCAATGGGAACCCTGATGCCTGTGTTGAAAATTACTTCAAGAATTAAAGAAAATGTACATGAAGCATTTGGCCAATACTTAGCAAGTAGGAAGCAACCCAGGTCGTGTCTGTTCCTCACGTCATCAGGGCAAACGCCCAGGTCCTAAGGACCAGCAGGAGGCGTGTTTGGTCTTGGCAGTCTGTCCAGAGCCTCGCGCATAGCTGGTCTTCAGCGTTGGCGTGGGTCCCGGACAGGAGCCTTCCTAGCTCATCAGAGGTCCCTCCACTGCTCCCGGGAGGTGACTCAGGGCCTATGTGTGCTCTTCCTCTCAGAGCCGGAATCCAGCCTCACATCCCTGAGCGCCGAGGCAGCATCATGCATTAGTTCGGGACCGGAAGCGCCGGCCTCTGGCTATCGTGAGTCCTGTGAATGCCCATGCTCTTTTCTCTTTCTTCTTCCTCACTTGGCCTCCGCCTGCCCTCCGCCCATTCCCGCCTAAGCTCCGCTCCCAGAGCGGCACATTGACTTCCCTGGAACCCTTCGCAGTTCCTTCCCCCAACCCTGGAGGTTGTTTGGTTCCCGTAGACGGTTCAGAGGCCATGGACTACTCCGAGTCATCCTCCACGCCCAGTGCACGGGCTGTTGGCCCTAATGTCGTCCTTCCTTCCTTTTCTTGGTAACGTGTTGGTCACGACGCCACATCGCCTTGCGGGTGGGGAGCTTGATGTGTTTGGCGGAAAATTGCTTGACACCTCTGTACCCTGCCAGTGGGTCCTGAGGACCACGAGGCCCAACCAGAAGGGGACTTCCATGACCCAACGGGCCATGCGTGAGCAGCTGCGGCCCTCAGTCAGGAGGCCACTGCAGGCTCACCTATCTGTGAAGCAGAGGAGTGCCTGAGGGGCTGGACGACGCCTGAGGAAACGAAAAGGTCCCTGTGTTCCTAAGAGCTCTAAAGGGCAGGGCCCGCTGCCCTCCCATGGGGCTGGCGGTCCCTGAGTGGTAGGACCCGGACATCTACCCCTTGGTCCCAGATATCGCCTGCACCTCCTACAGGAGAACAGGACCACCGTGGTCCCACAAAGACACTCATACGAACTTCTTGCTGGTGCTCAGGCCCAGGGCGCTGCCTACTCGCCTGCAGATGGGAATGGGAGCGCCCTTCAGCAAGGGCAGGAGTTGCAGCCTGGCATCCAAGTGTGTCCCTGTCAGCTCTGTGACAACAAGTCCCAAGATTTCCTCATCTGCAAATGGAGATATGAATTTGTGGGGAGTCTATGAGGCCCCAAAAGGATAGTGTATGTGGTATGGGACCTGTACATAAATCGTTGCATCGCGAATGCCGTACAAGGACACGAACACCAGATGGGATGCAGGTCAGTGCGGGGTTTATCAGGAAATTCACGTGAGATTCCCTGTGTCTAGGGAGACATTCAAAAGGATCATGACCGGAAGAAATCAGCATTTCTCTGAGTGCACTGAGAAAGAAAACATAGTTGTGCAGACATTGATAGGTGCCAAAACATGAATCAAGCAAGAGGATTTATTACTCAAAGGCAGTTAGACAGGATGAAGACCCTGACTACGGAGTCAAAGCAGAGATCTTGACTCCTCTTGACTCCGTATCTGGAGGCCTGAAGCTGGCAGGGTCTCACAAGACCTGAGGAAGAAGAGAATCAGGAGAAGTGGTCCCCACTTCATCAAGCTGATTCAGAGGCTTTGGAACAGGCAGATGAGTAACAGAAATGTTGGCGATTGCATGCTGGCTTTCAGTAACATTTGGCGGTGTCTTTGTTTCCCAAATGGCAAATCAGTGCTGCGTGCAGATGGTGGTTCTTGGTGAGGCGGTCAGCAGTAGGAAGGCTGGCAGCGTCTGGACATGGAGCAGGGGTGGCAGCAGGTGGTCCTCCGGCAGGTGGTGTGGCAGCAGTTTGGCTGGCAACCAGGCTAGCAGCAGCTGGGTCCACAGCCCTGGGCTAGGCATCCAGGCAGGCAGCAGCAGGTGGGGAGTAGCAGGTTCTCCTTCAGTATACGCGGGTAGAGCAGGCTGGCTGACAGCAGCTGGACCCACAGCAAGGGTGTCCAACTTGCTGTCGGACCACCTGCTGCAGGACCACCGGCTGCCGGCCCAGCTGCTGTGTCTCCAGCTGCTGTCAACCCAGCTGCTGTGGGTCCAGTGGCTGTGGACATGATCTAATGATAAAAATGTCATCTGGTCATTGGGCTCCTCATGTCATTAGACCAACAGGTAGAGGAAAGGGTCACTATTTGGTGATGTATAATTATCATGGAGCGATAGAGTATAGAGAGAAAGGTATCTGGAACTCAGGAGATTTCACTGAAATATCTACATGGTTCTGTTCATCCCTGTATCAGTAATCAGACACCTAGACCCATTAGGCAGGATTATCTGGGTTACTCCATTGGGATATTATCCAAAACAGTGGAAGCATTGGCTAAGGTAAAGGAAATATAGGACTGGTAGCAAAAGATGGAGATTATGACTACTAGTTACACACTAATACAGTGGCAGTAGCTGCAGCTTGTTCCAGTAGACTTCCTGTTATACATCCCTTTATTTTCCTCCTTCCCTTTCTCCCTCTCCATTCCTCTTCTTATTTTTTTATTTCCTTCCATCCATCCATCCATCCTATGATTTCTTCTTCTTCTTTGTAGTTCTCTTCTCTTTTCTCCTTCCTCCTCCTCCTTTTCGTTATTCATCTTTTTCTAGAAATTGTGGATTTTCCACCACCTTGAAGAAACAGAGGTTGGTCTAAGAGGAGCAAAGGATAGATTGTAGTTGATGTATTCAATACCTCACTTCCATGGACTGAATATTTGTGTCCTTTAAAATTCATGTGCTGAAGCCCTAATCCCCAATGAGATGGCATTTGGAGGTGGGATCTTTGAGAGGTATTTATATTTGGATGAGGGTATGAGGATGAGGCCCCATAATAGGAGTGATACTCTTATAATAAGAGACAGAGACCAAAGCTCTCTCACTTTTTCTCTGCCATTTGAAGATACAGCCTTAAAGCAGCCATCAGCAAACTAGGCAGTGGGTCCAAGGAGACACTTAATCTGCCAAGCATCTTGATCTTTGATTTCCCAGCCTCCAGAACTGTGGCATATAAATTTTGCTGTGTGAGCCAGCAGTCTAAGGAAGTTCATTATAGCACCCCAAACTGACTCACACAACCATTCACATATCTTCGATCTCAGTGTGTTCAGGCCAACTTCGAATTACCACATGCACGTCTCTGTGTCTAAAGGCTCTCTTCATGCAACAGCAGAAAGTCATTTAGTCTGTGCATGCCATGCTGAGAAAAACATACAACCAGTGATTCTGGAGAGTTTCTAGCTCCATTTCATCAAGTAGGATATAAAGATTCCAGCTCCATTTCATCAAGTAGGATAATGCTAAAGTGTGTATTTTACACCATTTCTGATAATTTCCCTTCAGGTTTAAGCTTCAGTTGCAAACAGTGATACTAGATTCATATACACCCTTATCTGCCCCATTTCTTCAATTCTCTGCCAGTGTGTTATGCACATCCTAAACAATGTCCACTTGGTTCTTTTTCTCAGGATATTTTCTCTTAGGAAACAAACTATGACTTTAATTTACCTCTCTTGTTCTTAATTTCTTCTTTTCTTAAAATGGGAATATTTATACTTCCTTGAAAATTTCTTCAGAATTAAAGATAATGTACATGAAGCATTTGGTCAATACCTAGCAAGTAGGAAGCAACCCAGGCCGTGTCCATTCATCATCTTGTCATGCAAACACCCAGCTCTTAAGGACCAGCAGGAGGAATGTTTGGTCTTGGCAGTCTGTCCAGAGCCTCCCGGATAGCTGGTCTTCAGCGTTGGCTTGTGCCCCAGACAGGAGCCTTCCTAGCTCATCAGTGGGCCCTCCACTGTTCCTGGGAGGTGACTCAGGGCCTAAGTCTGCTCTTTGTCTCAGAGCCTGAATCCAGCCTCACATCCCTGAGCGCTGAGGCAGTATCATGCTTTAGTTCAGGACCAGAAGCGCCAGCCTGTCTATCACGACTCCTGTGAATACCCACGTTCTTTTCTCTTTCTTCTTCCTCACATTCTTCTCACGCCCCTTGGAACATGCTCTTGATTTCTCTCAAATCCTTCATAGTTGCCTCAGAAAATATAGGAGGTTGTTTAGTTTCTTGGATGGTTCATAGGTCATGTGTTACTCAAAGTCGTACATGCCCATTGCACAGTCTCTGAGGCTTCAACTTTGTCTGAACTTAAATTTCTTAATAGCATTTTGGTCAGGATGACAAATTTCCATAACTTTAGGGGAATACAATATATGGCCCATTTTTTATTGCAGAGAATTATTTATTTTCTCACTATGTTGAGAGATAATAGAAGGAGGCTATTCAGAATGGATTTGCACAATACAGAGATAGTTTAGATGAGAGTCTGTCTTGTGAGGACAAAATGGATGCTAACAATATTTCATGGGGATGAATTTCATGTGTGGCTGAATAAGTGGAAACAGGAAAGGTACCTGCTTTCTTGAGAGCTCCAAAATGCAGTCCCACCTGCCCTCACATGTATCTGATCTGCTGCTTGCTGAGTTGTGAGAAACTGATTTTTTAACAGATGTTATCTACATATATGAGTGATTGTTCTTCCATTTGTAAAGGATAAATACATTTGCACAACTTTCTAGTGTTCAGTACTAAATATCATTGTTACTTTTATTGACATGTAAATATAGTTGCCTTTGAGCAAGAACAAATTATCCAGTTCTGGATCCGAGTCTGTCCATTATTAACTATATGAAATTACACAGTGAAATATTCTCACCTGAAAATGTGGAATATAATTCATGACATGCTGTTGTGTACCTCAGGTTGGGTAATGCATATGATACCCAATATGTATATAAGTTCCTATATCAGAAATATCGTACAATAAAACAAAACACAATATGGGGTGAATTATGATGTAGACTTTACAAAGAGGCATATAAGTAAGACACTTCCATCTAAGGAGACAACTCAAATTATCACAAAAAGATGAAAGTAAGAGGAAGAACCATAAGCACATTGATAAAGAAAATATGATTATGAAGTTTATTAATCAGTTGCAGGAAACTATGAAAAAGTTTTAAACACTTGTTTTCCTAAGTTACTTAGAGGGAGATGATGATTCTGACTTCAGAAGCCAAGACCATAACTTAGTATCAAGAATTTATGAAACTGGCACATGATCCACATACATGGGAGGAAGAGAATTGGAGGAAGTCCTCTGCACAGCATCAAGCTGATTCACAAGCTTATAAAAAGACATATGAGAAAAATTTTGATGGTTGCATGCTGACTCTCAGCAAAATCGAGCAAGGAAATTTGTCCTCCAAATGGCAAGTCACTTAACAGGAAGGTGATATGTGCTGATGGTATTTCTTTGGTGAGGTGATGAGTAGCAGGAAGGCTAGCAGCAGTTGTATCCACAGCCCTGGGCTAGGCACCCAGGCAAGCAGCAGCAGGTGGGGTGGTAGCAAATTCTCCTGCAGTACACGGGGGTACAGCAAACTGACTGGTAGCAGGGTGTGCAGCAGGAACTAGGGCGGCAGCAAGGCTGGCAGCCACTGGACCCACAACAGGATTGTCCACAGCCACTGGACCCACAGCAGCTGGGCTGGCAGCAGCTGGACACACAGCAGCTGGACCCATTGCAGGTCTGCCCACAGCCTCTAGACACAGCAGCTGAGCTGGCAGCAGGTGGTCCTGCAACAGGTAGTCCTGCAGCACGTAGGCTGGCAGCAAGGGGAGCAGCACGAGTTGGTCATGGTGTCAGGTGTCAAGGGTGGGCCCCTGTTCAGAGGTGAGTTTCTCAGATTCTGATGTCTCTTTGTGTTCTGGAGCTTTTATGCACTGAACTCCCCAAAGTTTGGACCAATGGGCATGACCTTCTTGTTTTTACTTATGCATTTTTTTTTTTGTACTAACTGGAGAATAGTCAATAAGGGAGTTGTTGCCTTAGTGTTTTGAGGCTTCTGTAATTTAGTGTTTGATCATTTTTTTAATTGAGAATACTACTTAAGAACTTTTTCCAGAAATGAGAAAGTCAGGAATCATCACCAGCTACATTTCTGGTTATTTGACATCATCTAATCATGTGATATTTTCTGCTGGCTTGGCAAAAGTGAGAACAATTGTCCCTCGTCTGCTATTCCTTTGAGCATAGTTAGTTTGGGAAGTGCCTTTATTTCTCCTCCGATCTTTGTTATTTCTTTCCTTATTGTAACTTTGGGCTTTGTTCATTTTTGTAGTTCCTTGAGGTGAAAAATTGGTTGTTTGAGGGTTTTTTGTTTGTTTGTTTCATGTTGTAGACATTTATCAATATTAAGTTCCCTCTAAGAACTGCTTTTGCTGCAACATATAACTTTTGGTATGTTGTATTTCCATTTTCATTTGTCTCAATGTATTTTTTTTTCTCTTTGGAATCCTTTTTTGAATGATTGGTTGTTCATTACATGTTGTTTAATTTCCACCTATTTTTGAATTTTACAGGTTTTTTTCTAATTGTTTTATAGTTTCATACTATTGTGGTCACAAAAGATGCTTGATATGATTTTAATCTTATAAATTTATTAAGACTTGTTCTGTGGCCTAACCTATGATCTATACTGGAAAGTATAACATGCGCATAGAAGAATGTATATTCTATTGCTTTTGAATGGAATGTTGTGTGTATGTCTCTATTGTAACATATTATTTAAGGGCCATGTTTCCATATTGATTTTCTGCCTGGATGATTTATCCATTGGTGACAGTAGAGTATTAAAGATCCCTACTATTATTGTATTGCTATATATTGCTCCCTTTAGGTCTGTTACTATTCACTTTATATATTTAGCTGCTCCTATAACACATGCTCACAGAGAAATAACATGAGCAGTCCACCTTGTGGTGTTTACTAAATAAATAAATAAATAAAATTTATCAAAAGACTTGTACAATGGAATTCATAGATCATTTTAATATCGGTAATAATTTCAAAAGTCACAAACTGCAAAAACCCACATATATGTCAATGAAAGATGGACAAATATATCATTTTTACTCATTGAAGAATTATTTTTAAAAAGGGATGAATGAGGTACCCACATAGGTATCACATTCATAAAATAAAGTGAAAGTAGCCAATTCTATGTTATTTTATAAAAAGTCTAAAAACATCTGAAATGAACTATTAAACATACACAATGTGTGATTCACTAGAATGATTACCTACCTTTGAGAATGAAAAGGCATGTAATTTGAAGAGGATGAAGTTAAGTTCTATTTATTAAACTGGTAATAGGGACATGGGGGATCACTTGATGATATTCTATCAGATTTGAAATTATTAATTATAATTAATTATATTTTTAAAAAGCACTTTTGAAAATGAATTTTAAACCCCCATATCATTTGAATATTTTAGGAATCAAAAATACCTTAGGATCATCTCACCTGGACTACTCATTCAAATAAAGTAAGAGAAAAAAAAATATAGTGAGTTATGTGAGGTCAACGAATATATTAAAAATGAATTAGGACTGAGTCACGATACCTAGTCATATCAATAAAAGATCTACATGCTGGAAAAGCCCACAATTCTGACAATTCAAGACTATTGGTGCCACAGGATGTTAAGTGACTGAGGCTTGCCTTATCCCAGTGCTCCGCAGCCGCCTCTGCCCACGTGCTTTGGTTCTGTCTTGCCATTTGGAAGACAGGAGGCCAGATGACCTCTACCCAAGGTCCTTGATTGAACTGGGACACACAGGTGGGGTAGGGTGCTACGAGAGGCAGATGCCTGTGGGAGTCTGGAATCAGGCTTTGTGGGGAAACAGATTTGGACTCAGGCCTGATATACTCCCAATCTACCTACAACCTAGGGACCAAAGCTGGGGAAGGACTGCTGCTCGGACACTCCTCAGGACAGCAGGAACTCTATCACATGATCTGATGGTCAGTGAGGCAAGAACGACGTTGCTGATATGACCACGTTGCTTTAATCTGAAAATGTTTCTAGGAGTTATTCTCAATTCGGAAACCTTTTAAGCACGTATTCTCTAAAGATTCTTAACATGTAGAGGACTTCCTATTCTCCTGTAGGAGAGGTGATATGTGGGACAAAGTGGTAGACATCTGTGTCCTACCACTCAGCCCCGTGGGAGGGCAGCGGCCCCGTCATTCAGAGCTCTTGGGAACACAGGGACCCTTTCGTGGCCTTGGGCACCATCCACCCCATCATGCACTCCTCCACCTCAGAGATAGGTGAGCCCTGCGGTGGCCTCACGACTGATGTCCGTGTCTGCACATGCATGTCTTGTGGGGCCATGGAAGTCCCCTTCTACTTGGACCTCCTGCTCCTCAAGACCCACTGGCAGGGTACAGAGTTATCAGGCAATTTCCTGCCAAACACATCAGGCTCCCCAACTAGAAGGTGATTTGACATCGTGATCAACATGTGTCCAAGACAAGTAAGGACGGGCAACATCAGGGACCGAGAGCCTGTGCAGTGGGTGTGTAGGATGACTTGGAGTAATCCATGGCTCTGAACCATCTAAGGGAACCAAACAACCTCCAGCATTTGGAGAAGGAACTGTGAAGCGTTCCAGGGAAGTCAATGTGCCGCTCTGGGAGCAGAACTTATGCGGGAGTGGGGCAGAGGGCGGGAGAGACCAAGTAAGGAAGAAGAAAGAGAAAAGAGCATGGGCATTCACAGGACTCACGATAGACAGAAGGCTGGCACTTCTGGTCCCGAACTAATGCATGATGCTGCCTCGGTGCTCAGGGATGTGAGGCTGGATTCAGGCTCTGAGAGGAGGGGCAGACTTAGGCCCTGAGTCACCTCCCGGGAGCAGTGGAGGGACCTCTGATGAGCTAGGAAGGTTCCTGTCTGGGGCACACACCAACGTTGAAGACCAGCTATGCGGGAGGCTCTGGACAGACTGCCAAGACCAAACACGCCTCCTGCTGGTCCTTAGGACCTGGGGGTTCACCTGATGAGGTGGCAACCCAGACATGACCTGGGTTGCTTCCTACTTGCTAGGTCTGGACCCAGTGCTTCATGTCTTGTATCCTTAATTCTTTGCTTTCCGTAAATTTTTCTTTGAATCCCAGTAGAGTTAACCTCTCGTGTCCCACTCCTTTCAGGTGGACCATGTAGTGATTCAGCAATGCCATAGGTCACCCAGTGCTCATCACAGCAAGTGCCCACCTTAAACCCCATCACCTATTTCACCCAAACCCCACCCCCGACCCCTCTGGGAACTATCGGTTTCTTCTCTGTAGTTAAAGAGTCTGTTGCTTGGTGGCACACCTTCTCTCTCTCTCTCTCCCTCACCCACTGTCTCTCAGTCTCTCTCTCTCTCTCTCTCTCTCTGCCTCTCTGTCTGTCTCTTTCCCTTTGCTCTTTTGTTTAGCTTCTCCAATGGCACCTATGAGTGAAACCATATGGTATTGGTCTTTCTCTGCTGACTTATTTTGCTTAGCGCTGTACTCTCTAGCTCCATCCGTGTCATTGCCAATGGCAAGATTTCTTTCTCTTGTGTGGCTGAATACTTTTGCATTGGAGATCGAGACCCCATCTTCTTTATCCATTCATCTGTGGGAGGACACTCGGGCTGCTTCGGTACCTGGGCTACTGGCAGTCATGCTGCTATAAACATAGGGGTGCATGTATCCCTTCGGGTTCGTGTTTTGGGGTTTGGGGGAGGGTGGGGCAACCCAGCAGTGTGATTACTCAATCGTAGGTTAGTTCTACCTCTAACTTTTTGAGGAAACGCCATGCCGTTTTCCACAGCAGAGGCACTCCCCAATGTGTGCATTCCCACCAACAGCGTGGGAGGCTTCCCCTTTCTCCACCGCCTCACCAACACCTGTTGTTTCTGCTCTTGTGGATCATAGCCATGCTGACAGGTGTGAGGTGCCATCTCCTTAGAACTGTGATTGGCATTTCCCTGACGATGAGCGATGTTGAGCGTGGGGTCGTGTGTCTGTTGGCCATCTATAGTTCTTCTCGGGAAAAGTGTGTGTTCCTGTCTTCTGCCCATTACTGCATCGGGATTTTTGTTTTGGGGGTGTTGAGTTTGTTTGGAGGGTGTACGTTCTTTATGGATTTTGGATCCTAACCCTTTTTGCCTATGCCATTTGCAAATATCATCTCCCATTCAGTCGATGGCCTTTTAGCTTTGTTCATTGTTTCCTTGGCTGCACAGACACTTTTCTTGTGATGTAGTCCCTATAGGTTACGCGTGCTCTATTTCCCCTGCCTCAGGAGACCTCTCCGGAAAAAGCTTTGATATGGCCAGCGTCAGGGACGTGATTGCCTGCGCTGTCTTCTAGGACCTTTCTGGTTTCGGGTGTCACATTTCGGTCTCTGATGCACTTTGAAGCTTTTGTGTGTGCGTATGCTGTAAGGAAGGGGTCTGGTTTCATTCTTCTGCCTCTAGCTGTCCGGTTTTCCCAACACCATTTGTCGAAGAGACTGTCTTGTGCCCATTGTGTTTTCTTGCCCCCTTGGTCGAAGATTGATGGACAACTGCACAAGGGTCAGCTCATCTCTGGGTTTTCTCTTCTGTTCCACAGATCCGTGGGTCTCCTTTTGTGCACACCCCATCGTTTGGATTACTACCGTTTTGTCTGGAATTGGGACACCTCCAGCTTTGCTTTGCCCCTTGCAGAGAACTTTGGCTCTTCGGGATCTTTTGTGTTCCCGACCACATGGGAGGATGCTTTGCTCTCACTCTGTAGAAGAAGGAGAAACCTGCTGTCGGTATTCTGTTTGGGATGG